AAACTTAATTTCTTATATCGAAACACAAAAATATTTTCAACAAAAATAATACCCGAAAATTTGATAACGGAGTTCAACCAATTGTGCTTACGTCTCCGGACTGCTGCAGATCTTTTACTAAGAGAGAAAATTTATAGGTGTTTATAAAACACTCACTACTCACAAGAAAGCTCTCTAGTATTAGGAGAAAGAAAAATGATTTGGGATGATTTTGAAGCTAAATGGGCTAGGGTATTTATAGTTGAAGCTTAGGAACTAATCTTATAAATACCCTAAAGTGTGTAGTGGCTAAAATATAATTAACCCAAAAATATTTTAATTAAAAAATTGGGGCACCAAATTCGATGCTTGTTGAAAACCCATGCATGCCTGCCCCATTTTTTTGACTTTTCACGTTCAACAATCTCCTACTTTAAGACTAATTTTAATCTTTCTTAACACCTCGATCAATGCAGCAACTTTTCTAGTCTTGTTACTCTAGCATGCCAATTGAAGCTGAACACAACTTCAGTTTTTCTATGGTCACCGTCTTTGTCAACATGTCTACCGGATTTTGAGCTCCACTAATCTTTTCAAGTTTCAAAATCCCATCTTCCAGAAGAGACCAGATAAAATGATATCGCAATTGTATGTGCTTCATCCTGGAATGAAAAGACGGATTCTTTGCTAGATGGATAGCACTTTGATTGTCGCAATACAAGACATTGTTTTCTTATTTCTTACCTAACTCTTCCAAGAAACTTTGGAGCCAAACCATCTCCTTGCTGGCTTTCGTAACAGCGACATATTCTGCTTCAGTTGTGGAGAGAGCAACTATCTTCTGTAGTTGAGAAACCCGAGAGAGCAACTATCTTCTGTAGTTGAGAAACCCAACTTACTGCAGTACCTCCTAGAGTATCGACATACCCTGTAGTGCTCTTTCTGATGTCAACATTTCAGACTAAGTCAGCATCTACATAGCCTGTCAGTATCGTATCTCCACCTTTGAAACAAAGTGCTTTATTTGTAGTACCCCGCAGATATCTAAGGATCCATTTGACAGCTTCCCAGTGTACCTTGCCTGGATTATTCATGTACCTGCTAACAGCTCCCACTGCATGAGCAATATCTGGTCTGGTACAAACCATGACATACATCAGACTTCCAATTGCTAAGAAATACGGTACATTCACCATGCGTGCACGTTCTTCCTCCGTCTTTGGTGATTGTTCTTTGGAGAGTCTAAAATGTATACCTAAAGGTGTACTTACTGGTTTAACATCTTGCATGTTGAACATGGAGAGTATTTTGTTGATGTACTCAGCCTGTGATAACATCAACGTCCACGACTTTGTGTCTCTCTTGATCCTCATCCCAAGAATCTACTTTGCAGCGCCCATATCTTTCATAGCAAACTGATTCGACATTTTTTGCTTCAAGTTTATAATCTCTTGCATGTCTGAGCCTGCAACGAACATGTCATCAACATACAACAATAAAATAATGAAGTTGTTGTCAAACCTCTTGATGTAGCAACAATGATCTGCTTGGCATCTGGTAAAACCACTGCTACTCATGAAGCTATCGAACTTCTTGTACCACTGTCTAGGAGCTTGTTTTAAACCATACAAGCTCTTCTTCAACCTGCATACCAGGTTTTTGTTTCCTGCCTCTATGAAGCCTTCTGGCTGCCTCATATAGATATCTTCCTCCAAATCACCATGAAGGAAAGCTGTCTTTACATCTAACTGCTCAAGATGTAAATTTTCTGCAGCTACAATTTTCAACACCAGTCTGATTGTAGACAGTTTTACAACTGGAGAGAAAATTTCATTGTAGTCAATACATTCCTTTTGCTGAAAACCTTTGACAACCAATCTTGCTTTGTAGCGTTTGCTCCCATCGTGCTCTTCTTTGATCCTGTAGATCCACTTGTTATGGAGCGCTTTCTTGCCTGGTGGTAATTCAGCTAATTCCCACGTCTGATTTGACATAAGCGAGTCCATCTCATCTTTCATGGAAGACTCCCACTTGACTGAATCCTCAACCTGCATTGCTTCATCATAGAACTCTGGTTCACCATTGTCAGTCAGCAACAAGTAGTGCAAAGAAGACGAATAACGCTGGGTTGGTTTAGGAATTCTGGATGAGCGTCTTAGTTCCGGTGTGCCTGGTTCTTCTTGAACTGCTTCAGGACTGATCTGAACATCATTTCCAGAAATCTCTTCGAACTCAACAAATTTCTTTGTTTCAGCTTTGGTATTGGAGCTGCTTGATTCTACAGTTGACCTATCTTTGTACATCACATTTTCATTGAAAATGACATCTCTGCTTTTGATGATCTTCCAATTTTCATAGTCCCAAAATTGGTAGCCGAACTCATAACCGCCATAACCAACAAAGGCACATTTGTTAGACTTAGCATCAAGTTTACTTCTTTCAGCAGAGTCTATGTGTACATAAGAAATACAACTAAACACTCTTAAGTGTGAAAGATTTATTTATTTCTTTCTCCAAACTTCCTCTGGTATTCTGCCATCCAAAGGAACTGAGGGCCCATGGTTGATCAGGTAAGCTGCAGTGTTGATAGCTTCAGCCCATAGAAATTTGGGTAATCCGACATGTATCCTCATGCTTCTGGCACGTTCATTCAGAGTTTTTTTCATGCGCTCTGCTATGCCATTCTGCTGCGGTGTCATGGGAACTATTGTCTCCACCTTGATCCCATTGTTTGCGCAAAAATCTCTGAATCTCCTATTTCTGTACTCTCCTCCATTGGCAGACCTTAACCGCTTGACTTTCAGATCAGTCTCATTTTCTACCATGGCCTTCCATTTTTTGAAGGTATCAAAGACTTCTGATTTCTTCTTCAAAAAATAAACCCACACCTTCCTTGTAGAATCATCAATGAATGTGACATAATATAATGAGCCTGTAAGAGATGGAACTGGAGATAGTCCCCATACATCAGTATGAACCAACTCTAACTTTTCAGCCTTGGGTGTCTTACCAATCTTTGCAAAGCTGACTTTCTTTTGCCAAAGATGCAATCCTTACATAGTCCGACATCTACATTCTTTAGATCTGGCAGCTTCCCTTTTGACAAAAGTGTCTTCATACCTTTCTCGCTCATATGACCAAGCCTTTGGTGCCATAGGTTTGATTTTCCATCAGCATCTGCTGCAATAATGATATTCTCTAAGTTTGAGGTTACATAGAGAGTACCAATCTTCTTACCATGAGCAATGACGAGTGCTCTTTTGGTAATCTTCTATTCACAGCCTGAAAAGGTTGTACTATATCCTTCTCCATCAAGCTGTCCTACAGAAATCAAATTCCTTTTGAGGCCAGTAATATGTCTAACTCCTGTCAACTTCCAGGTGGTCTGGTTTGGCAGCTTTAGTCGGATGTCTCCTTTCCGGACGATCTTCAAGGTTTCATCATCAGCTAGATGAACCTTTCCAAAATCACCACTGACATAGTTCTCCATGATTTCTCGGCATGGGGTGAAGTGAAAAGATGCTCCTGAATCCAAGATCCATGATTCAATCGGACTATTGACGCTTAGAATCATGGTATCACATGTCTCCTCTGTTATGTTGGCATATTCCTGTCCGCCGGTATCTTTCTTCGGTGCTCGACAATCTTTTTTAAAGTGACCCTTATTGCCACAATTATAACATGTATAATTTTTCTTTCCCGTTCTTGATTTTCCCCTTCTGGATTTGGATCTGCCATGATTTGAATTTATTTCTGAAGTTCTCCCTCTAGACTCATGTACAAGGCTGAGGAGGTTGATGCTTCACCCAATTCTCTTCGTCGAATTTCTTCACTCAATACCAGATCCTGAACATCGTCGAATTTCAATTTGTTATTTCCCGACGAGCTGCTGACTGTTGTAACAGTAGCATTCCAACTGTCTGGTAGAGATGATAAGAGAATTAAAGCTCGAACTTCATCATTGAATTCAATTTCCACGGAACTCAACTGTGTTGTGATTGTGTTGAGTTCATTTAGGTGTTATGCCACCGATGCCTTTTCTGCCATCCGTAAATTGAATAATCGCCTCATCAAATGAACTTTGTTTGAGGCTGATGACTTCTCATACATACTGGAGAGAGATGCCATAAGACCCGATGTGGTCTTTTCCTTTGCTATGTTGAAAGCAACATTGTGGGATAACGTTAGTCGGATAACTCCTAGGGCTTGTCTGTCGAGAAGAGCACAGTCTTCATTCTTCATGCCCTCTGGTTGTTTTCCTGAGAGGGGTTGATATATATTTTTCTGGTACAGAAAATCTTCAATCTGCATCTTCCAAAAGCCAAAGTCCGCACCATCGAACTTTTCAATTTTCACATTCCCTTCATCTGCAGTCATCGCTCCCACTTGAATCTGGCTTCGTTTGGATCGTTTCTGACAATTCTTGCGAATCACCGTGTATTAGAACACCTCCGTCGACAAATTCGTATCGTCGATAATTTTTTTTACTATTCACAAAATTCACTATTTACGTGAATAGTGATTAATAGTAACCTCACAAAAATTGACAAAATTCACAACCAAAAGCTCTGATTACCAGTTGTTAGGAAATAAACGAGTAACAAGTAATTTTCCTATAACCAGATTAGTGAGAATGCGAAATAAAAGTGGAAAAATAATTCCCGAAAAATTGATAACGGAGTTCAGCCAATCGTGCTTACGTCTCCGGACTGTTGCAGATCTTTTACTAAGAGGGAAAATTACAGGTGTTTATAAAACACTCACTACTCACAAGAAAGCTCTCTAGTATTAGGAGAAAGAAAAATGATTTGAGATGATTTTGAAGCTAAATGGACTAGGATATTTATAGTTGAAGCTTAGGGACTAATCTTATAAATACTCTAAAATATGCAATGACTAAAATATAATTAAATCAAAAATATTTTAATTAAAAAATTAAGACACGAATTCGATGCCCCCAATTATTGAAAACCCATGCATGCTTGCCTCCTTTTTCTGACTTTTCACGTTCAACACAGTCCTTAGTGCTTAAAGAAACTTTCAAGGAACATAGCACTCTTAATCCGGTCAGTGGCATTTCAGTTGTTGATTTGACTTTCTAAGGGTACTTTTGGAATTTGGTTTTTGATGTGAAATGTTGGTGTTAAACTGCAGAAGCAAAAGTTGGCATGGTAAATCAATTGAATCCAAGGCCTAGGCAAGTGGAGGTTTGGTTCCAGAATAGAAGGGCAAGGTGAATTATTTTTAATAGGTTCGAGTGATTATAAGGTAATATTTACCTATAATATTTTTTTTAGTTATTGATAATGTACATACAACTCATAGACGTAATTGTTTGAACTCAAAATCTAATATTTTCTTTAATCACTTAGGTTCTTTTTTAGGGTATTTTTGGGTGTAATAAAATTGTAATTAAAAGTTTCCACAAGTTTTAAACACTTATTAATGTGTTGTTAAGACTAGAGTTGTCCCTCCCAGCTATAAAGAAGATTTTAGGGATTTTGTGGGTGCTTTCAAGTTTCATGGTCATTAATTAGAATAAAAGCCTATGGAGTTAAAGGTATCAGCCTATTAGCAGTAGTCAAATCTTCTAAATTTTCAGGTTTTGTCCATCCAACTTGGGTTGCTCATTAAATGAAAAGAAAATTAAAATATTTGCTTATGGATATTTACAAGTAGCAGCAGTAGTCGATGGGGGCTTGAAGCATAAAGATAAAATCTGAATGCATGGAATTGAATTGGTGCAGGACAAAGTTGAAGCAGACGGAAGTCGGCTGCGAGTATCTAAAGAGATGTTGCGAAAATCTAACAGAGGAGAACCGAAGGCTGCATAAGGAAGTCCAAGAGCTTAGAGCATTGAAACTCTTCCCACAGCTTTACATGCACATGAACCCTCCTACAACCCTCTCCATGTGCCCTTCTTGCAAACGTGTGGCTGTTTCTTCCTCTGCGGCTGCCACCCGTCCCTCACTTCAACAGCTCCAAACTGTCGTCAGATGAGCCCCAACCATCAACGGCCTGCGCCTGTTAGCCCTTGGGCTGCAATGCCAATTAGTAGTAGTAGACCCTTCAATGCCGCTGCATCTAGATCATAATATCTCAATTGGGAGAATATTTTTGGGAGGTCAGACAATCAACGACCAAACGGATATTTTTTCTTCTTAAAAGTTTGGAGTAGATAAAGAGGAGGTGTAAAGGGTGGAGCAGTAAAATAATTTTCTATTGAAAGCCGGGGTGTTAAGGTTTAGCCATATAACAAAAGCATCTGAATTTTGTATTGTGATGTGTTGGAGGCAAATTAAGAAAGGGGCATCATATACCTACAGAATCTAATGAAAGGACTAATAACTATATGGATTGGGAAGATGGATTTTGTTTCACTATTTATAACTTGTTTGGAATAGATGGACCCAATTAACTATCATCACATTCCAAACTGCTGTCTGCGTTTCAGATTTTTTGTCTAAACTTGATCTTATAAACAATCAACTAATCTGACTTTTATGTTGTCATTCTATCAGCCAAGTAACAAAGGACTTCAGGTTTTTGGCCAACTTAATCTTAAGGGCAATCAGCTACTACGATTTTTATGTTGTCACTATATCAAATTAAGCTTTATTGAGTTCTAATAGGGACGTACGAAAAAAGTTTCTAGAAATTTAACTAGGAATTACAAAAATTAAATCATCAATAGAAAATATGAAAAATTTAAAATAGTCAAGAAACATCCTAATATCCCTATATCCATCCCTAATTGTCAGACCTCTAACATTCCAAAAAAATCTTCATAGTTATGAATATGCACGAAGCCAACAAATATAACCAAGTAAAAAACAAAATAAGAAACAGGACACAGAGATAAAAACAGAAAACCTCCAATTATCCCAAGTAGAAATGCCACATGAGATTATAACCCAAATGATCGTGACTCTAATATGGAAATCCAAATTATGGGGAAAAGCTGTCACAGGAAAGCTTCTCAAGCAATTCAATTATTTAGGAACAACACTTAACAACATAATTCAAAGGAAAACGCCTATTAGAGTCAAACTGTATTCACAGTGTCTGCAAGGGAACGAAGTATGCATCCCAAGCCAGCTCTCTCCGTCAGCTTCTCATGGATCCTAAGGCACTGATCACATGTAGGGCGATCTCCTGTTGACAATCCTCTATATAAATACCTGGAAATAACACAACAGTCCTCACTTGTTATTAATTTGCAATATAAATACACAAATACTGAGGATATGCTTCTCAAGAAAAACACTTCGCTAGCGGGACTTAACAACCTACCTAGTGAAGTTTTCACATTCGAAACGTATTCAATTTGGATTTTCTTTTAAAAGAAAAAGAAGTATCAGATAAAGTTTTGCAAGTGTTATCAGCTGGAGGAACTTCTAGACGTTCCTTTGCCACTATTTGATATTGATATTGATATTGATATTGATCAGAGTAACTATCAATCAGAAGTTCAAAATGTCATCAAAAAGTAAACTGCAGAACTCAAATCAGATTTTTTTTTCAACCTCCATAGTTCCTAACATTCTAGCCAAATTGAGATATCTTGTCACCAACACTCAACTCGAGTTTGCAGCAAAGATCAAACTCAAACAAAAAGGCCTTAAACCCAATACACTTATAGTAAAATATAAACGAAGTAACATGGTTTCCTATCAAACAAATTATCAGACATCAGTACAATTATAGTAAAATATAAAACCAGAGCCAAATATGAAAATTCTGGAAATTCAGCTAGAAAATAGATGGAGCTGTAGAGGGTAGGGAATTGGACTCATTATCAGCAATAAGAATGAAGATAACATAAAGCTACAAACAAGGAATAGAAAATAATCTAATATGAAGAGATCTTTAACCTAACAAGCATAATTGGGAATAAAACTAGCATGCCCTAATTTCCAATTACTAATTTTGAGATACAATACAATCAAAATTAGGAATACCAAAAAGCAGCTCACTTCATAAGAATATCATAGTACTCGGGATCCAAAGAAGAGAACATTCCTTCGACATCTTTTATAGTCATTAGTGCTCTATGCACAACTATCCAATTCGCCGACTGCAAATGCCCAAATCGGTGAATAAAAGGATTACTTATTTGTATAATTCAATAAAAAATTGAACAAGAAATAAAATATTTTGGATCCAAAACCTTGCATCGCTCGTCACGTGTCATAGGAGGAGATCCTTCGAGCGCAGTTTTAAGAGCTTCAACGGGCTTATTCCTGAGAGATAGGAAGAAACGAATCCCGTTTAATTAGGGTTTATTTTTTTGGAAAAAAATAGATTTGATTCGATAAGAAATCCTCACTGTTTAAGTAAGCTCTCGATCTTTCTCGATTTGTGCTCGATTCTTGTTATTATAGCCTCCGCGTTATCAGCATCCACGAATTTCTCTGCTCCTGCCATCATCGCTGATTCACTCACATCCGATCCAACACTCCGCGTTCGAGGAAGAAAACCGTTTTTCATCCAAAACAGCGTCGTTTGGCCTTCGACTCAAATGTAAATATTTTTATATTTTGAACTAATCAAGCTACGTGGAGAATGAAGGTGGCGGGTAGTCTATACCGAGGAAAGTCGATCTTAAAGACATTACAGTAATGGCAAAACTACGCCATTAGTTGATGATTTTTTACGGTATTTTTGTTTTGCCACTAAACTATCAAAACTTAGTAATTATAGCACTAATATTTTTAAATTCGTTTTTTAGTCATTAGATTATTAATTATTTAACGTCGTTATAATATCAGTATATTTCACTTTTGAGAAATATGTATACATTTAATCTCATTCCTACGTGGCATTTGATTAAATAAATTGTGAGCTGAATCCAAATCACTTAATACATTTATCGATTCAGAATCCGCTTTCTTTTTCTTAAATAAAATATCTAAAGAATGCAACAAACCGCTACACGAGATTTAGTATCCTCTTTCTCATAAATCTAATCCAAAAATTTCTTTGCCGCCTCCATATTCCCATGGCTCCACCCCATATTACAGATGTCCGTGAAATTAAACTTCTCTCCGACATCTATTTACAAACCTTTTTTGGTGAATGATTCGTGCAAGGCCTTTGAAACATACAATTCCAAGTAAAACCCGTTTTCCATAATGTCTGCAAACCCTCCCAGATTTCGATGCATCCAGCAAGGACTTTGCCAGGGTTAAAACTGGTGGACTCCCACCCAACTTTGAGTATGACATTGCAAAGAACCACGTCACTTTAATGAGATCTAACATCGTACATTTTTTTCTTTTATTTAAAAAAAAACACCACAGAATTACACATCTTGAGAGGGAGTTTCTAACACAAGAATATCATCTTCACCGACCACACATACGGTGATAGCTTTTATCATAATCATAAAATCAAAAGACTGAGCCAATCTCCACATATATAGTAGTAGTAACAGAGGCAAAAAAAACCAAAAATAACGTGGACTGTATTTTACTTCATCTTATTCAAAGAGTGTCACACTTGGGTTTTAGTACATGGTATGCAGCAAAGGTTGATTCTCGTTCAAGCCAATTAGATCCTTAAAAAAGTACCCAACTCTTGAAATCCATTCATAAGATGAAGATTCTGTCAATGCGTGCCCTGTTGGTGCAGCTGTTTGGTCCGCCAAATATGGTACCATGTACTTCTTCATGTCGCTTCTTGGGATCTGTAGATCATTACCCAACACATTTACGAATTTAACTTTTCCAGCTTCATCTAAGGTTTTCAAACCAATCCAGTCTTCCTTATAGAGCTTGGTCTGCAGAGAAGTAAACACATTCATATCAAAGATGTTCATCAAATAATACCGAACTAAAGGTTTTAGTTGTAAGCCTATTCGTCGAAAAATAATCTTTAGTTATCAACTGTGACGTAGTTTGTTCACCTCTTGTACAGTCAATACAGGATTAAAGGCCACGTCAGGATAATAACCAAACCAGGCTGTTTCCTTCGGTATCATCCTCAAACTAGTCCAAACATTGAAGAGATTAGCACGACAGCACTTGCAGATTACTAATACAAAGTTTCAGGAAAGAGTAATAACGGGACACTTCAACTTACCTTTACAAGAACCAGATTCTGCAAACTGGCAAACCGCTCCTTGTAAGTAGAATTTCTCAAACCATCAATTTCGTTGTTGAGTTTTGGAAGGAATCTACATCCTTAAGATAGTCGGTCATGTCCTGGTGAACCAACAAAAAGGGAAAAATACAACTGAAATGGGGAGTCAAAGAAGCTTAGCATGTATCTTAATGTAAAGGGTGAATGGGAACAGAGTCCCATGTAAATACTTAAATGCCAAACTGTTAATTATATAACATGATATTGGTATAACTAAAGATAATGGACCAGAGTTGGGAAATATACTCACAGAATTTTAAGATAACCACTAGGAACCAAGTGTTCCTGCAATTATTGATGACATGTATTTAAGATGGTGTCAAATTATCTTTTAGATATACAAACAAGATAGAACGAGAACCATATTGAGACAGAAGCACCATTTGTATTTATCAGTTTCTTGCCCTACCAACAAACCTAACAACTGTTTGAAGAACAGAAAGTACAAAAGAATCTTATACCTGGCAATAGTTTGTCACGATCGGGAGAGAAGAGAGAAGCGAAGGAGACGAAGAGGAAATTGGGGGAAATGGAAATCAAGGGTTAGGGATTGATAGTGAATTGGGGATGAGTTACCTGATTAATGATCACGTGAGGAGCACGAGGAGCGATTGACCCATCAGGAGAGCTGAGTCCACGAGCAAGCAGTCAGCCCAGTTGGTGGCCCAATATATGAGGAAATAACAAGACGGTTATTCAAGAATCTACAGCTGGCATTTAGTTAGATTTGTTGGTACCTTGTAAACAAATAAAACGAAGTACTGTGTAAAGAACAATCAAGCATATTTTGAATGAAATCATATTTTTGTATCTCTATTCTACTCTTTTCTCTATGCTTTCTTCTTCTCTAATTCCCTAAACTATCTCAATTCATCACAAATTGGTATCGAGAGCCTCGATTTCTGGCAAGTTGGTGGCATGCCCAAGAAAAATCAGAACATGGCAGAAGACTTAGCTGGGTTGCAGAAACAGATGGAGGAATTGACAGCACTGGTGAAACAAGGACAAGATGAGTCTAATCCTCCTAAATGGTGGGAGACTCAGGACAACAGGATTTCTGCATTGGAGTCTAGGATGGTTACGAATCATGGATATGTTGAGGAAATCTTGAAGATTTTGACTGGTAGGAAGGAGGACCAAAATCAGTTTGAGGATCAGGTGCAGACCCCTGATTCATCTAATATGAGTAACAACCAACCTGTTAAGATGACAGTAATCAATGATAAGACCTGGTATTCTTTAGTCTAAACCAAACGTTTTGCCTGTTCATCTAGCTAGCTTAAAAAATGATAACCAAATGGGGGAGAACAGTGCTGCTAGAACTCAGTTGATGGCTTTAGAAGTGGATAAAAGAGGCACTGGGGGGTCTTCTAGTATGTCAGGGATTATGCTGCATAGACCAAAAATTGAGCTACCTTTTTTTGATGGAAGTAATCCAAGAGGTTGGCTACAGAAATGTTTAAAATATTTTTCATTATGTAGTATTGCTGATGAACAAAGATTGGAAGTAACTACAATGTACTTAACAGGTAAAGCAGAGATTTGGTTTGATGGTTATATTATGCAAAAACATCATGTGACCTGCCATGAGTTTGAGGCAGATTTATGTCATAGGTTTTGTGATAAAACCTTTGTTGATATAGTGGAGGAATTTACAAAACTAGTCCAGAAAGGGTCTGTAGAGGAGTATCAAGACAGATTTGAAGAATTACAACCTCACATGCTTTTACAGAATCATACTTTAGGTGAGAAATTTTTTGTCTCTTTGTTCATTAGTGGATTAAAGGATGACATTAAACATAGAGTTAAAGCTCTAGACCCTAAAACACTGTCTGAGGCAAGCAGGCAAGCTAAATTATATGAGCTATCTGTGGAATTTGAGAGCAAGAGATTCAGACCTTTTGTAAAAAACCCAGTTTATTCAAACCCTCTATCTAGTTCTAAGCCTAACCAGCTGACATTACCACAGAAGAATGCAACCAATAGTCCACAAAAACAGAACCTGATAGACTATAGAAGACATAACAATTTATGCTTTAAGTGTGGTGAAAAATTTAGTCCAGGCCATCAGTGTAAGGTTAAACAGTTGAATATGATGATTGAGAATGACACTGTTATACCTTCATAAATTTTACCTACTGATATGGAACAACATAATCTACAGGAGGAGGAGAGCCTAAAAATATCAATGAATGCTATCACTGGATGTATTGGCCATAATACATTAAGGATTCAGGGCACTATTCAAGGGGGACCCTTGAATATTTTGATTGACAGTGGTAGTACCCACAGTTTCCTAACACCTCAATGGGTTGATGCTGGTATTCTAGTAAACACACCTTATCCTTTGGCTATTACAATGGCTAATGGACAACAACTTTATAGTTCAGCTAGGTGCAATAAGGTTGAATGGCAAATGCAAGGACATTCTTTTGTTCATGACTTTAGACTCCTAAAATGAAGTTATTCAGTCCAATTTTGATAGACTTCAATAAATTGACTCTCAGTTTTGTCCATCAAGATGAAAACATTATTATACATGGCCAGCAACCCTCAAATGTTTTGCAACAAATTTCAGGGGCTACCCTGTTAAAAATGACAGCCTCTGATTTTGCTATTTTGGGCCATATGGTACTGTTATCTATGTATGAGGATTCAAAGACTGTTCCTGCAGCTCTACAACCTCTCTTAGACAAATTTCAGTATGTTTTTGCTGAATTTACAGGTCTACCACCTACAAGGAATCATGATCATGCAATTCCTCTAAAACCTGAGTCTGCTCCTATAAATTTAAGACCTTACAGATTTCCACATAATCAAAAAGAGGAAGTGAAAAAACAGATAGCTATCATGCTCTCCTCTTCTATTATTCAACCTAGCAAAAGTCCTTTTGCTTCTCCTTGTCTTCTTATAAAGAAGAAGGATGGGACTTGGAGATTCTGTGTTGATTACAGAAAGCTAAATAGTATGACTGTGAAGGACAACTTTCCTATTCCTGTTGTGGAGGATCTCTTAGATGAATTACATGGAGCAGTTTATTTTTCAAAAATTGACCACAGGTCTGGTTATTGGCAAATCAGAATTAAGGCTAAGGATATTTACAAGACAGCTCTCAGAACTCATCAGGGTCATTATGAATTCAAGATAATGTCTTTTGGGCTTACTAATGCCCCTGCTACATTTCAAGCTCTAATGAATGACTTGTTTAGTTCATTTCTTAGAAAATTTGTCTTGGTATTTTTTGATGATATCCTAGTCTACAACACCTCTATGAAGGATCATATTACTCATTTAGAACTGGTTTTGGAGATATTGCAAACTAACCAGTTATTTGCCAAGATGTCCAAATGTTTCTTTGGACAGACTCAGGTAGAGTATTTGGGTCATATTATATCAGTTGATGGAGTTTCAACTGATCCTACTAAGGTGGAGTCTATGAGGAATTGGCCTATTCCTAAATCTTTAAAGTCTTTGCGTGGATTTTTGGGATTAACAGGATATTACAGACGATTTATAAGGGATTATGGAACAATCAGTAAACCCTTGACACAAATGCTTAAGAAGGATAATTTTAAATGGAGCAGTGAAGCTTTACATGCTTTTGAAGACTTGAAGCAAGCCATGTGTGTTGCTCCAGTCCTAGCTTTACCAGATTTTGGTAAGCAGTTTTATTTGGAAACATATGCAAGTTCAGGAGGTATTGGGGCAGTTTTAACTCAGGATGGCAGACCTATTGCCTACTTTAGTAAGGCTCTTAGCCCTAGACATGTTGCCCTCTCCATATATGAAAGAGAGTACTTGGCTATTCTACTAGCAGTCTCTAAATGGAGGCATTATCTAGAGAGCACTCCTTTTATAATTAAAACAGATCATGAACCTCTCAAATATCTGTTGGAGCAGAAGTTAACCATTGACATTCAAAAGAGGGGGTTAACTAAATTATTGGGCTTGGATTATACTATTCAATATAGAAAAGGTAAGTCCAACATAGTAGCTGATGCACTCTCTAGACAATGGGAAGATCAAGCTCACTGTTTTGCAATGGGTACTACCTTGATTGTTCCTAGTTGGGTTCAGCAGATTGAGGAAAGCTATAAGGAAGATGCAGTAGCTACTGAATGGATTTCTGTATTAACTGTTAATCCTAATGCAGATTCTAGATGGAAATACTCTAGAGGTATCCTTAGATTTAAGGATAGAGTTTATATTGGGGTTGCTGGAGCTTTAAAATTGCAGATTCTTCAAACCCTACATGATTCACCTCATGGGGGTCATTCAGGAATTCAGGCTACTTATCAGAGGATTAGAGCTTGTTTATACTGGCCCAAGTTGAAATCTATGGTGGCAACTTATATCAGGTCTTGTTCTATATGTCAACAGACTAAAGTAGAGCATGTTCCTAAACCAGGACTTTTACAGCCATTACCTATTCCTCAGCAGGCTTGGGAGGTAATCACTATGGATTTTATAGAGGGTTTACCTAAATCCTTACGAAAGAATCGCATTCTGGTAGTAGATAAATTTACCAAATATAGCCATTTTTTAGCATTATCACATCCTTATTCTGCAGCTGATGTGGCTAAACTATATTTGGATAATGTCTACAAGCTTCATGGGCAGCCTAAATTAGCTATTTCTGACAGAGACAAAACATTCACTAGTCTCTTTTGGAGAGAGCTAATGAAATAATTAGGGTCTAAAACCATATTTAGTACTGCTTACCATCCAGAGACGGATGGTCAGACAGAGAGGGTTAACCAGTGCTTGGAGCAATACCTAAGGAGCTTATGTTTTTTTCAACCAAAACACTGGGCTAAATGGTTACCTCATGCAGAATGGTGGTATAATACTACCTACCATTCTGCCCTAAAGATTACACCCTTTCAAGCACTTTATGGTAACAAACCACCTACTATGGTTTGGTACACAGAAACTAAAGTGCAGTCTGTCAATGAACTAATGCGCAACAGAGAAGATATTCGGATGTTAGTTAAAGAACAACTCGAGATTGCAAGTAACAGAATGAAACAAAAAGCAGACAAGCACAGATCAAAAGAGTTTTTGAAGTTGGGGATTATGTTTACCTGAAGCTGCAACCTTATCGCCAGACGACACTAGCCCTGCGAAAGAATTTAAAATTAGCAGTGAAATGTTATGGGCCATATAAGATTACAGAGAGAATCGGGGAAGTTGCCTATCGATTGAGCTTACCTGAGACATCGAGGTTGCATCATGTCTTTCATGTAAGTCTTTTGAAGAAACATATTGGAGACTCTGTCGTTTCCTCTACGGATCCTCCTGCCATGGATACAGACAATCAGTTTCGAATAGAACCATATAAAATTTTGGGACGATGAATCATTAATCGCCAAAACAGACCTGTTACTTAGTTGTTGGTGCGATGGACAAACCTTGACGAAACACACGATACTTGGGAGGATTATACTGTCCTTCGAGGTCAATTTCCAGGCTTTGATCCTTGGGGACAAGGATCGTCTCCAGCGGCGGGTATTGTCACGATTGGGAGATAAGAGAGAAGAAGCGAAGGAGACGAAGAGGAAATTGGAGGAAATAGGAATCAAGGGTTAGAGATTGATAGTGAATTGGAGATGAGTTACCTGATTAATGATCACGTGAGGAGCACGAGGAGCGAATGACCCATCAGGAGAGCTGAGTCCACGAGCAAGCAGTCATCCCAGTTGATGGCCCAATATCTGAGGAAATAACAAGACGATTATTCAAGAATCTACAGCTGGCATTTAGTTAGATTTGTTGGTACCTTGTAAACAAATAAAACGAAGTACTGTGTAAAGAACAATCAAGCATATTTTGAATGAAATCATATTTCTGTATCTCTATTCTACTCTTTTCTCTACGCTTTCTTCTTCTCTAATTCCCTAAACTATCTCAATTCATCACATAGTTGCTATAGATTCCAAACTTGATTATGCTATCCAGAAGTATGCATATCAGAGCAGATGGCACAATGAATATTTAAAACCAGGGAACAGTTACTCACTCCACAAAAGGGAATTGATGCCGTACCAGCATGGGGCCCTCCCATTGATATGAAATTCTTGACCTACACAAGTAGACGTAAAAATAAGTTATATTTCAGTTTGAATACAAAAGTATATAACAATAGTGCAAGAAGAGAAAAGCACAGGAGAACTACAAGCATGCAAAAAAGCTGATAAAGAAAATAATAAAGCAACATCGAAAGCTGAAAGGAATTTCCAGATATGGAAGCTCAATACCAATATGCAGCCAAAAACTCCACATAATTATCTCATATCTCATGAATTTGACAATTGACAAAATGAAATTTGTTGCTACAAAATATCTGAACCAGTGGACTAATGGATCGGTGGAGGTCATACAGCTTAGGTATGCTAGTGGATTTGATTGAATTGACTGCTTCATATTGAAGACGAATACAGAGTTTCTTCGTAGAATTAGTTGGCTAAATAAAATGCAATATCAAATATTTTAAGAATAAGCTCTTACAGAGAGCCCTCCATCACAAAATTCAATAACCCCTTGACCAATCAAATTACCCTGTGTAAAAGAAAAGGATTATATGAAATGTTAATGCTGAAAACCATAAAAGAGAAAAGTTTGCAAGAATGTCAGCATACATTTGTGGGAATGTGCACACATATAACAGGTATAAATTACAGAAATAAGCAAAACTTCCACTTGTATTAATCACCTGAGAGAGTCCAACTATGCTGCAACCCTTGCTAAGTTCACTCATTTTTTCACCTGTAAGATGGAATGAAGATCCATTCGGGAAAAAAAATTCAAACTTCAACCATAATACAACAAAGTAATAAACGTTACCAAATGGTTTTACTACCTTCTCACAAACAGTTGATGTCTGTAGGAAAAAGTAACACATGTCAGAGTTATATGACTTATAAGGAATTAAGGATTATAAGTGATGAGAAACCTCAAACTCAATTCGAAATGTCACCTGTTCAGAGAGGGGCATTGTCCATGAATCCCAAGATCCATCTCCAATTTCACTAGTGCCAAGGAAAAGATGTCAGGTTAGTAGGATAAGAAAAAAAGAAGTCTTGGTCCAGGGAATAGCAGAACCAAAAGAACAAATTTACATACTCACACGAAGATAAATATGTATAAAGAAGAGTGCTACTCACATACTGCAAAGTGCATGCGTGGATTACTAATGTAGCTGCATGAGTTTGCTAACATACGCAAAAATGGTAATAGAGTCTGATAATACGCTGAAGTAAATTTTATTTATTGTTCTTATTGCCTTCCCCTAAGTTTATTAGAAATTATACAATAAAGATCGTTGCAGTAAAAAAAAAAAGATCTACAGTGAAAGTAGCTAAGGAAGCCTTTATGACCAAAATTTGCATATACACATAAATCATATTTCTGATTTGGTAAGGTTACCGAAGAATAACTTCTATACTTTCAGGCTTCATCCATAGAAAATTAAAAATGAACAATGAATAATAAAAGAATATTGATCATACACACAGTAGCCTTGAGAATTAGACCACTTGCTTAAAACCTCAGTGAATTCAGAGATTCCTCCGTTAGTGCATTTATCACCAATGCCTGCCATTAAATGTGTTAGTATTGAATAACGTAGTTTGTCTCCAAACTACCTCCAAAAGTAAAACTCTTGCTGTTATAAAGAAGATAAATAGTTGAGGTTCTACATAAGAAGATAAATTTTATAAAGGAACATTTTAGAACACATTTTCCATCAAATTTGTTCAAGAAGCAAGTACAGACTAAATACTCATAGAGAGTAGTTTATCATAGGTTTTTATGAATTTTACAATGCATACCTGAGACAAAATTTTAGCTCACAATTAAAACCTGTTGGTCTGTTTTCTTTTCCATAATGTTAGACCATTTCTAATGGAGCTCCATAGCAAATTATTGGTTCCAAGAATTCCACCAATCAACTGCATAAGAAATATAATTTTCTTCTGGCATTGTTCTACTCATTGCAGTTTTATAAATCAAAAGTATATCTCCAATAGAAATTTTGATTATTCAAACGCAAATTAGTTTATGTTTTCCTAGGCAATTATTCAAGATGTGATTCTCAAAGAAAATGGTCGTGCAAATTAATTTAAATAGAATAAAAAAATAACTTGAGCTATTCCTCAACATAAAAAAACTGGTCTTGAAAACAGATAGAGCAAGCAGGTAAATAATGCCGCCATTGAAATTTATAAGAATTGCAGAGCAAGATTGAAATAAGAACATTACCGTGCAATACAATGAAAGGAAAGGCGCGTGTGACTGGGATAAGAATCAATGTGATAAGGGAGAAGAAGAAAGTCGTTGACTGCAAACCAGATGCCATTGCTGGTAAAATAGAAATGAAGTGGCTCACTTGTGAGTTGAGAGTTCTAGGGGAGTAGCATACGGAGTTTGCAAGAATCCAACAAGGATCTGCTTCCTGGGATTTTGCAAGAAAACTTAAATTCTGGGGGGTTTGAGATCAACAACAAATCTATATAAAGGATAATAACAAAAGCAAAAATTTCTATAAAAAGCTAAACGAAAACTAGTTTGACAGGAAAAAGACGAGGATCCAACTACCTACCGTCTGTACACCAAATACAGCTAAAATAGTTCCATGTGAGATTAGATAAATGAATCGTGAAGAAGACCCATGCCTCCATTGCTTTTCTGAATTCTGTCTGGTATATCCGTGGCCACACGCACTGTCACAACGATCCCGACGAGGCAAGCTCTAGTTGGGGGCCCTAAGGATAATCCAAACCATTAAGCCCAATTAATCCATCAATATCCAATTTTGAACCGATCCCCCTTCGGTCGAGTCATAAAGTTTCAATTTTTTTAATGTTTTAGGTAGACAAAGAAAAACTAAAGCTCCACCATCAACTCCCACTACAAAAATCACGAAAGGCTTCAATCAAAGCACCTTCCAATTCATTCACCTCTAACAAAAAACGTCATATTTCTTGGACTGTTTCCAAATATGGCGCGGTTATTCATGATGTAGTAAATCAAAGGGACTTCTTTTTATTGAAATATACAGAAAAAATAATTTATTATTATCATAAGATTCTTTCCCAATTAATTTTCAATATGACACCTTTTAACAGAGATATTTTCTGTATTCAACGTTTTTTTAGAAAATGATTTATACTAGGAGTGCCTTATGGGGGATGTAACAACTCTTATGTGAATGTGGCTAAACCCTTGAAAGGTGTTTTTAACCAAAATCAGAATATATATATATATATATATATATATATATATATAATTAAATAACTAATTAATGATTTTTTCGTGAACTAAACTTAGAGGTGGCAAACGGGTCATTCAGTTTGGGTTTTGATCGGGTCATTTCGGGTCAAAATTATATTAGGTTTAATTTTATTCAGGTCAGTTCGGATTTGGTTCGAATTTAGTTCGAGTGTATGGTAAATTAGGTCGGGTTAGGTCAATTTTCGGGTTGGGTGATTATCGGATTAGTTAGATTTCAGATATAGTCAATATCTGTTTGGGTCAAACTTTCGATTAGATCAATACGAGTTGAATTGATTATAAGTCTAATCAAGTATATATAGAATTCTTAATATATTACTATAAAAAATATGTTTTCTTGTTCATTAATCTTATCATTTAGACATAATTTCAATTCTAAATCGTTCAATATTTTGAATTAAACCATCATTTAGAGATGAAAAATTAATAATTTGACACAAATACGACCTTACAATGCGTGTTAGAGCTTGTTACCAAAATTTTATATTAATCTTTATACGGAAAGTTTATAATGACAACTATTTAATAAAGAAATAAAATTTTATTTTCAATTATAAATTTAATATTTTTATTAAATTTTAATATAACATAAATAAACTTTCTATTATTTTTATTAAAAATACAATATTACTTCCTTTGTTTCCTATTATTTTTTATTATAAATATAATATTTTTATTATAAGTAACATAAGTAAACTTTATTTGTTACTGTTTTCAATCTTACTTTTTTTTATGTTGTTATGTAACATAAGTAAATTTTTGATTTGGATTAATTTCGGTTCGGGTTATTTTTGGATCGAGTTAAATTTGGTTTGGATTGCTTTGATTTGGATTATTTTTCGGTTCGGAATAAATTAAATATGAGTCTATATTGGTTTAACTAAATTTTGGATCATGTATGGTTCGAGTTTCGGATCAAATTTAATCTTAATATTTAGATTAATATTAAGCATTGATTCGAATAAATCAATTCGATTAATTGAAGTCGGATAAGTTTGCGAGCTCTAACTAAATCCCTAAAAGTCCAACCAAAGAGGAAATTACAGCATATCCCATTTGAAATTTGAAAGGGGTGGCTTTCTTTTGATTATTTTATTGCCGCTTTCTCCATCTACGCGAAATTTCATATTTTTCTTTTGTTATGATTTGTTATTAGGTTTTTGGAAACGTAATTATGTAATCTATTTATTTATTAATTGTCACCCCTAAGATTGATACGGATAGTTTGATCTGATCTAGAGTGTCACATTAGGGTCATCGGAGCGATCCACCGTAAAAATAGCAGAAATTTTAAAACTTTTATTTAAACATGTAACTCATAATTGCTTTATCAGCATTTAAAAAATAAAACAGATTTTCATACTCAAATATAAAACAAAATATAATTACATGCCCCCTAATTACATGTACCATACTCTGCAACCAACTCCGAAAGAACTTATTTACTGATGTTGATATATGAACTGGTACGATTCTTTTAACCTGAAAATGTGAGTAACAGAGTGAGCTTTGAAAAGCTCAGTAATACAGAACTATCAGGTGATGCTGAAGAACGTGCAGATACAGATAAACAAATATTTCCTTATTGGTTTTGAACATCCATAGATTTTTATGTTGAGCGGAGATCCTACTGGTATTTCAGGTAGTAACAGACAGTGAGCTTTCAGTTCAGAGAAATATCTCGGATGACTGAGTTCAGGAGATCATAATAGGTTATTTAGTGTGTTCCCGCAAAAATAGTAAAAAGATATAGATCTTTTAAAACATATATATATACCCTCATCCGTCACGAACAAAATGTGTAGGTTCCCCAGAACCATACAACCCCGTCACGTCCAGTAAGGCCCTGAGCACAAAGCCGAGGAGCCTGCAGGTATTCTTCCTCCAACAATATCCCCCAAATAAAACATGTTCCGTTCGTAAACGGATATATAAAAAATTAAAACATAATTCATGTCAATTATCATGTCAAAATCCAGGTCAAGTATCAGATTAGAATCCAAGTCAAGTATCAGATCAGAATACATGTCATATATCAGATCAGAATCCATGTCAAGTATCAAATCAGAATTCAAATCGAAAATCAGATAAAATATTCATATGAGTAGGGAACACACCAGAATTTACAGATATTATTCAAAGATATTGGATAATCTTAACAGGTAGAGGAACACGGATCTTTAGTATACCAATAGAATATCGGAATTCAGAATCACTATTAGAAGAGTTCAATAACTAACGGAATCATTAGTTATTCATAATATGACTTGAGCTGGTAAGGAAGAAATGAAGGTTCAAGACAGTTACAGTCTATGTCGATTGATTCCATTATCAACAACTTCAGATGAATATCTCCCAAAATTAATGCTTGTCAACTGGTCAATTCATTATCCTTACAGGGTATTTACACTTTAATACCACAAATTCTAGTACATATATCATCTTCGGAATCATCGCTGAATAAATCTTCCAATGTCTTTATTTCATGTTCACACTACCACTCTATCATGAAATGTTGACGTGCTTGATTTGTAGTTAATGATCCATAAGAACATTTCATCATGAATGTTCATTAACGTTTCCAGACTCATCCAAATCACTTATTTAATCCTTAGTTATTGAGGTTACTTATTTCACTTAGTAGTCAAGTTTATCCCAATTACTTCAAAGTTTTCCAGGTTAATCCATGTAACATCCTCAATATCGAGTTAGTAACTAAATTGAAATATTTCAGAATTTGTTGGTCAAAGTATATAAATTGAAAGTTTGGGGACTCACAGGAAAAATTGTTGTGTATGATTTAAATATTAAAGAAGGAATTATGGAAGGGTAAAATGGTAGTTTGATGGAAAAATATTTGTTAAGTGGAGATATATATGGGTTACACGTGGGAATGAAGGAGAAAAATAAAGCTTTCTAGAGTTCTCTTCTTCATCCTCTTCCAACCGTGAGCTCAAGCTTGATAAGTTGAGTTTTCTAGACAATTAATTATTCAGTGAATTTAAGTTGGGTTTATGATTCTTAAGTGATATACTTAAGCCTAAGGAAGGCTTAAGATAGCATTAAAACAAAGAATAGAGGAATTGGGAGGAATTAAAGTTAAGGAGTTTTTAAGTGAAATTTTGATGATGAGTTAATAAGCTAACGTGGAGGCCAAATTTAACTTGTCATCAATCTAGTTAAGACAAACAAAGTGTTAAAAGTGGAATTAAATCATGTTGCAAAGTTGGAGAAATTCTTGAATTTCATGAGGGGGCTAGGATTTTGAGGTTTAAGATGAATAAATTAGTATAGATTGGTTTAAGTATGTGTAATGGAGTTAAGAATATAAAAGGGGATGAAACATGAAGGATTTAAACTAGAATGGATGAGTTTTCGGGTTCAAGAAGTGAATTCTGGGCAGAGTGAATCGGTACACATTGAATGTGTACTGATACATCAAGGGTAAAATCTCAGAAATTGTTCAAGGTATATCGATGCACATGAAGTGTATTGATGCATTCCTTTAAAATAAAAACATCGAATGCCATCAGTGTATCGATGCACAAGCAGTGCATCGATGCACCCCCTTAAAATACAAACATCGAATGAGATTTATGTACCGATGCATAGATAGTGCATCGATGCATACCTTCATTAAAAGATGAAAATAGCTTTCTTTTTAGCCTAGGGAGTAATAGTTTAGAATATATCAATTAGTATACTTATGTGTATCAATGTATTACTATGTAGATTTATAGTGTAATATTGTTCCGGAACAATCGAGGGATTAGTATCAAATCAAAGCAAGCAAGGCTAAGGTGAGTGCATAATATATGTATAAGGTACTGGAAATAAGACTTGTGATAAGTCTATTTACGAGATAAAAGTCATATTATAATAGTATGAACATGCATATATTATAGTTTGGATTAAATGTGTGTAAGTTATATATGTTTACATATGAATGTACTCAAATGCTTTTGTGGTAGAATATGAGATGGATGAATATCTGCATATGTGTTTATATGTTATAGTGAATGTTACATGATATAGATATGTATATAAATTTATGAACTTATATGACAATGAAATATATGATAAAGAAACAGGGAACTCTATAAGAGTATTACATGATGTGTGATAAAAAGCTATAAGTTTGTGCTTATGTGATAGAAATAAATGATAAATACAATAATAATGCTCATGTTATGTGATGTGAGAACCATAGGTATAGTTGGCATGCCAAGAGTCGAGGGTTCATAGGTCTTTCGAGACATACAGAGATCTTTCGGGATATACATAGGTCCTTCGGGACAACTTTCACATGCCCCTAGTGGGACCCCATACGAGCTGTGGTGACAGCATAGTGCACAACCTCAATGTACTCGCATACCTTAAGTTCTCAGTAATGTACACGGGCCTATAAAAGATATGAAAAGAGTTTGTATGATTGTATTTTATCATGTTACCATTTTTTGCTTTGAATCACGTATGCACATGAATTAATAAGGAAATTAATAATGATCTACGCATATGTATTTATTTATTGATACGCAATTTGAGATGATTATGTCTGAAAGGATGAAATGAAATGAGGTTGGATAATATGATGGAATATAGTATGCATATAATGTTACCTATTATAAGTGTATTATATATTTTAGTATGACTCACTAAGTCTATGACTTAGAGTGTAAGTGATTTACACGTAGGTACAGAAAAACAAAAAGACTGGTCTTGGGAACAGCATATCTTCATTTAAAGATCATATCAGAAGCACCTGACATAGTATGTTGGTTTATATTTTATATGTGTTGGCATATAAATAGAGTGATATAGTATATACGCTCTGATCGAGGTGTAATGATTTGAAGTGGTAATGTAAACATAGTTTTATATTAATGAAAGTTTTAAATTTATGTTGGTTTTATAAATACACAAGCTTTGAAAAGTTAATGTGACACCTCAGATTCGTATTCGGGTCGGATACGGGTTGGGGGTGTTACAATCCAGACCTTTCTGAATTTCAGATACACATTGTACTTCCGTTCAATTCAATTTGGTCTTCGTGGTTGATTTGTCTAACTAATATTCATTTCTTATTACCGAATGCGATCTAGAAATGAGCTGAGTACTTTCAAAATTATCATCGAACCACACTTGAGAAGACGAACATGCATTCAAGTAACATCTATGTCAATCAGGTACTGAAATATCATTAAGATTGATCAACTCACTTAAGATGTGTTTCATAACTTCTAAAGGTAGTCCAACACCTTTGCTTATTTGGATTCCTTAATTAATCCAAGACATTTACTTAGTATAGACCATAAGGGTATTTTGATCATTTTGGTGTTCAGTTTTATTCCATTCATTTCAGAGCTCGAGGATATCCACTCATTCTTGAGCTTGGTGATATTCTTGGTCATTTGCATTCTAAGGGTATTCTGGTCATTTTATAGATCCATTGTAGTCCAATAATTCCTTCCGTCCGATCTTATTATTAAATTCAAACTTATCATTTATGTCAGTCTTATCGAACTATTCTAACAGATCCGATGTATTTCAATCATTTCCATCCATGTGATCTTATTATTTAATTCAAACGTATCATCTTTTCCAGACCTTTCAAACAATTCTGACAAAAGAGCACCCTCGATAATTTATTCTTAACTCAGAGATTTTCTGGTCAATTGTCTTCCCAAAAGTTACCAACAGGTTATCAGGAATTTTCTATACAAAGACATGATCTTAACAATTAAATATGTACTTTATCGAGTTAAGTACGAACTCTCAAAGTACTTTCTCATTCAGGGTCAACTAAGATTATTTTTACATTTCAAGGGCATTTTCATAATTTCTTAAACAAATAGTTTCGGTATTAACTCTTAACGAAAAATAACTATAATTTAGAGATCATATAGTTAATTATTAATTGCTTTCCTGAACATTCTATTATCTTGAAATGATTCCTTAACATACTTCTAGTATCTTGCACAAACCCTCATGGGGTTAACAACCGGTTATCCAAAATTTTCCAAGCAAAACTAACATTTCTTATACACATCTGTAGTTTTATCAGATCAATAAGTATTTTCAAAGTTATTAATCAACTTCCAGGGACAATTCTTGTCATTTTACAACATAAGGGTATTTTCGTAAATTTACCCTATCGGAATATTCTCATAATTTTCCATCCAAATACCTTTGATGAAATAAATTATATGATACAGATCTAAACTGATTCCTTTATCACTAAACACAGAACTTGAAATTTTTAATTCTAACAGTCCCTCAATTTCTTATAAAAGTCATCTAAACCATAATCAATTACCGAATTTTTATCTTATTCGGATCGAGTGTAGAAATTAATTAACTACACATATGAGACCAATATTATCTTATTCATGCATTTACCAATATCAACATATTCCAATAAGCATAAAGAGATAGTAAAGTATTACCTCGATTTTCATGCCATACTGATCGACCATATAAATTCCATTTGAACACTTTTGGTCTTTAATTTAACTTCAATATTTTCTCGGATCCATATTAACAGAAATTACATAAAAAACGGAGCTTAATTCCGAAAAACATATTGAATCAGGTGATAAATCAGTCAAAAATAGCTTGTCGGGTCCGAGTTTGGCGAAACGGGCCCAGAAAACGGATTCAGAACGTCGAAAAACGTTAGAATAGGTATACACAGTCAAAGTCAAAGGTCGTTTAACGTCCGGTCAAGGCCGGTCAAGGTCAACAGTCGACCATTTTACACAAATATCACCCTAACCGAAATTAATTACAAAATTAGTCACCTTCTGCAAATATTTACAAAACTAACACCCTAATTTTACACAAATAACACTCAAACATAAATTAATTACAAGATTAACATCTTGCGGCCAGACGATGCCCACTCTCGGAGGGTGGCGCGTGGGGCGCGTGAAAAGTGATACGATGTCGAAAAATTCCTAAAAATTATTTTAAATGATTTTGAGGCACTTAAAAAGCTCGGTTCACAATTTTAAACTGTAGAGAGCTCGATTTCAACAAATCCGAAACTTTGACCGCTTCACCTCCTCACGCGCCGCCGTCGACGGAGACAATGAGGACACCGACAAACTCGAAATGACACAAGAAACACGATGGTGCAGGGGGTGTCGAAAACGGATGCCGGATCGTCGTGAATTGACGGAAAACCAATGAAAATCGAGTTATAACCGGCGATACTTCCAACTGAAATTAACGACGAACGACGACGATTCACGACGAAAGGTTGGAGGGTTTTTGTTCCTCGGTCGACAACGAACACGATAGTAGTTTCGGTTCATCGATCGAAGGTCGGACGACGAGTAGATCGGAGTTAAAAGGAGGGTTGTTGGAGGGGGAAAACTGGGAAATAATCTTGAAACTGGGCACGGGAAGGGGTTATAATTCATCCTAAAAAAAATAGGTAAATCATGAGTTAAGTCACTGAACTTCCTGCACTTCTTAAAATGGACTGTCAACTTTACGATTTTAAAATTTAATCCTCAATTTCTTCCAAAATATCAAATTAAATTTACCACTTTAAAATTCTTAAAATTTAACCCCTAAATTGGGCTGTTACATTAATAATAACGAAAAAAATTGAGCTACCCCTTTATTCTTTTTTATTATTTCTTTCTTCAAGATACCATATCTTGCTGATGAATATGAACTCTGACTTCTCTCGTCGATTAATTCAGAATCAAGACTTGATAAGTCTTTGTTAATTGCGTTTTTCATCAAATTCTTAATTTTGTTGAGACGACTTTCATAAATTTTAACCAATTTTCAGAAAAATCAATATCTTTTTCGTAAATAAAAAGAAAGTAATAAATGTGCATTCTTGCAACGAAGATTATTCTTTCAACTATGTACTTATCAACTTAATAGTAAGTCTAATGTATTGGTAATTTATTTCATATTTTTTAAGAAGAATGTTTTTATCATTTTAATCTTGATTAACATTAAATTTCATATATGATTTTTAACAATCCACTTCTTTCTTTATCAAAAAAGTAAATATGATATATATAAATTTATATCTTAAAACTTTAGGTCTTCAATAAAAAAAATAACAGTGAATTCAACAAGTTGTTTCAGTAGTAAAAAAATTATTTTCTTTAGGAGTCATAGGTTCAAACAGTTACGTTTACAAGATGTGTGTGCATTATCAATTAAATAATAAAGTTCTAAACATATATTATCTTATAATCATACTAAACTATTAAATTAAAGGGGGATATGTGATAGTTTAATTTGTATTGCTCGATAAGGAACATCCCTAACTAATAAATTATGTAATTTGAAAGTTTGCTTGAAGAATAACATCTACAATCCTCAATGTTTTAGTTTTTGTAATTTTTAATGAGTACATTTTGAAGTCAACAGAATGATGCTTTTATAATAATAAAAAGGAAAACCATGATTTCCACATGCTACATATAAAAAAATAAAAGCTTATTATAAAAGTCTCAGCAGTCCTTCCAGGGGCTTTAAATAAAATAATTAAAATATAAATTGAAGCCATTCCAATGCCTTGAATTTTGGAAATAACACGGTAGCATCTTGGGCCTTTTTCCATTTAAAAATTAAAACTCTCAACTCCCTTCGCTTTCTCATCATTCAATCAATATTCTAATAAAAGAAATACTTTTTTTTTAATATTATCCTTAATTTCCATGGAAGAGGGAAACTTGAAAAAGCTTCATTTCTAAATCATGTTGAAAAACCTTTGCATTCATATGAAAAATTCTGTACGGGTCAGACTTCCTTTGGAGGAGTTTCATTAACTTTTGTACGAAATGACAGACACAATACCTTGAAACAGTAATCAGTGTTTCCAGAAGATGTTTTTTTCTTCAAATCCGAGTTACAGAAATGTCAACACCAACTCTCCCATTTATGTGTCAGACAAGCCTTTGTTTTTATTATCATTCCCACGTATATTAAGAAAATTTTCGTTTTACACATTTTTATAATGCTTTGCATGTATATTGAAATTTAAATACATAAATAAAGCATTTAATTCTTTAAATATAAAAAATTTCATCTTCCAAATATATAATAATAAAAATATGATATAATTATTAGATTAATTTAAAATTATGTGCATAATAACTACAACTATATTGTTAGAAAAATCAATAACTCGTATATAAAATTATTTTAATTTGACACTAATATATGTATATTGATACATGTATTTTTTTTCTTATATTTCTATATAAAGCTTAACTTAAAAAAATAATTAAGAGTTAGTTAAAATTTGAAAAAAGAAATGGGGCCCGCATATAGATGTAGGGTTTAGGCATGGGGACATTAAAAACATAAAAAATATTCCAAAACCCTATTGTGTCATACATTTACAAATAAATAACCATACGTTCTGGAGCATTATGATTATATATACAAGTTGTGATCAAATATCAAAATCATGCTCATCCTCCCCCACTTCAATATTAACTAGTAGTATAAAATAATGCCACAAGGCGCTGGGGGAACTCTCACATAAATGTCTTTAAAAGGAAAACATCATATTTTCCCTTCCTATATAAACCACATTACCCTTCGCAAACTCTTCACTGACACTCACTAAATCTCTCATTTTTCTGTATTTTTTTTATAAAAGCTTTGCTTCTTTAAGCTCACTCATTTTTATTTATTTATTGCATATGGGGATTGTTTCAGAATCAGAGTTCAACATCCTTGAATATTTTCAACGCTATCTTGTTGATGATTTTGAGGAATCTCAAGCAACAATCACTTGCAGCAGCAATAATGTTGTTCTTCAGCCTTCGTATAGCAGGAGTTTAAGCTTCACTAGTATTTTTTTGAATGAAGGTTGGGGTGATTTACCCTTAAAGATGGATGACTCGGAGGATATGCTGGTTTACAGTGCTTTGCGCAACGCGGCAAACTTCGGGTGGACTCCTTTGAACCAGGTTGATTTAACAACTAGTACGGTGGCAGTGGCAGTAGAAGAGAAGGGAGAGTCCGTCAAGGTAGAACGTCCTGAAAGCAATGCGGTGCCACGGAGGGGGATGAATTTCAGAGGAGTGAGAAGGCGGCCGTGGGGAAAGTACGCAGCTGAGATAAGGGAGCCTAAAAGGAATGGAGCAAGGATTTGGCTTGGAACCTACGAGACTCCCCAAGATGCTGCTTTGGCTTACGATAGAGCCGCTTTCCAAATGCGCGGAGCTAAGGCTAAGCTCAATTTTCCTCACTTGATTGGCTCTAATACTTGGGAACCAATCAGAGTTGGCACAAGGCGCCGGTCACTGGAATCTTCTTCAGCTTCAACCACATCATCTGCAAAGCCCAAGAGGAGGAAAAGTGCAAGTAACTCGGAGGCCAAAGCCATCCTACAGGGAAATACAAGTTTTGGTGCGGAGGTGGGTAGTTGGTCAGACAAGTTTTGGGTTATTTGAGTCCAACCAATTTTTCTTTGGATTCAAAACTGACGAATTATTACTTACATATTTTTGGAGTCAAATGATGAATACTCATTTTTTTGTGACCATGTGGTCATTTCTCGTTTGGTTCTATCTTCTTTTATGTACAATCACTCTATGTTTTTCTTTCTGTTCAATCAAAATAATTTTATTAAAATAAAATGGACAAAGTCCAAGTCTGAAAATAAGGCAAAAGAGACACCAAACAAAGCAAAGTACATCTGCTGTCTCCAAAACCCAAGGTTAGCTTAAAGATTGGCACCTCTTTTAACAATGGACATGATGCATGGCACTTGCACTGGCCTAGAAAACTTAATAATATGCCATGAATCAGGACAACACTTCCAATGACAGCTTGTCTCACGCTCGACCGACACACACCGTCAACATTTAACTTTAGGTAAGAAGAAGGCGGAGCCATACAGTCAATACGCTCAGCCATAGGAGAAGAACCACCAAGTCTCTGTGTGTTGTCTAAAATTTCAGTTCCAGTGACCAGCATTCTTTTAAATTCTCTTATTACGTCCACTCTCTAAATCTAAATCATGTAAATGAAACCTGTAACAACCCGATTTTCAAAATAATATTTAATTGAAATTGGAGGTAAATTGTGAAAATGGGTGAAATTAAGTGACTAAAGTATAATTTATGAAAACTTGTATGCCATTTTTAAAGTAAAGGAAATTTAGGGACCAAGCCCTGAATTTCCCCTAAATTCTTCAATTTTCTTCCTCTCACACCTCCATTTTAAAGTCCGATCCAAACGCCGTCCGAATTCCGATCGTTGTTTTGAAACCACCGTTGTGTTCATCATCGAGCGAGGAACAAACCCTTCAAATTAATTGAAGCGAAACGCGGCCAAACGTCGGGAATTTCCAGTCAAAGTAGCGACGGTTTTGTTAGCTCTATCGCCGAGGAAATCTTAAATTCACCGCTGATCGTTGCTCCGTTTACGACACCTCCCGCACCATCGTGTTCCTTGTGTCGTTCCGAGTTCACCGGTGTCAACCTTGTCCGCCGTAGACGGCGGCGCGTGAGGAGGTGGTGCAGTCAAAGATTCGGCCGATTTGAAATCGAGCTCTCCGCCGTTCAAAAATTTGAACCGATCGTTGTAAGTATCTTGAAATCGCTCAAAATAATTTTTAGAAAATTTTTCGGGATTTTTAGGGCCCCGGAGGACGCCTCACGCGCCGCCGCAGGGCGAGTGGCTGCTGGAAACCGGTTTAACCGGTTTTCAACCGGCTCTGACCGGTTTGACCGGTTTCAACCGGTTCGAACCGGTTTGACCGGTCTGAACCGGTTTGACCGGTCTGACCCGACCCGACCGTTGACCCGACCCGACCCGACCGTTGACCCGACCCTACCGTTGACCGTTGACCGTTGACTTTCTTTGCCAAAACTTAAAATGGCTTTGACCGAGCATTAAACGACCGTTAATCTTTTCCGAGTATACCTATCCTGATAGTTTTCGACGTGCCGAATCCGTTTCCGTGGTCCGTTTTGTCAAATTCTAATCTGAAGGTCTCCAAATCTACGGTAAAAGTGGTTGACTTTGACTTTGACCAAGAATTTAAATTTTTGAAAAGTCATACTTTATGTTTTTCGACGCCCTGATTCCGATTCCGCAATCCGTTTGGCCAAATTCAGACTCAAAATACCTCAAATTGATAGTCAAACCCGAAAAATGCGTATATACTTAAGAAGTTTAGCTTTGAACAATTAAATAGGATTTGAGACTGATAAATATTATTGTTTGAAGGTACAAGAGACTCTCCGGATCGTTCGACAGCTCGACCCAGCTCTTCTAGATCAGTTAAACCACGTGTGCCAGTATTCACCCGTTCGAAAACTGTAGCAGAGCGTGGTGAAACCAGCAATCAGTAGATTTGTTATTTGAATCTATTGTCGAGGTGTGTTCCCTACTTATTATTGAACTGTTTTATTGGTTTTAATATGTGGTACACCGAATTCATTGGTTATTGTTTTATGGATGCACCAATTTAATGTGACAATTTATGGAATATGGCTGCTATCTAATTTTTGTTTTGAAATGGTATATGATTACCATGTTTTTGGATTTATGGAATTTATGTCACGGTGCAATTGAATTTTGGAATTGAATTACGATGGAATAGCTCTGATCAAGCTAACTGGGCCTAATGTGACTCTTGAGGGCCCCAAGATGTTTCATTAGGCCGGCTTTCCTTTGCTGTGTGCTTAGGGTAAGCTATATGGACTTATTGACTTGGGCTTAAGGATACAAGCTTCAGAGCCTATCCTTAAGTCGGCTTTCTTTTTGCTATGTGCATAAAGTAAGCTATATGGAAAATAATTTTGGGAACTACTGATGGTGTACCAGAAAAGGGTTTAAACTATGATTTTCAAAAAGTTAAACTCTTTTACGAATTTGTGAGATTACTGGACTATGATTTGTACCTATTGTGATTTTATGGAAATGTTGGGACACACTGAGCCTAGCTCACCTTTTGAAAATGTTTTCCCCCTTTCAGATACTGTTGGTTAGATACCTTGGTTCGAGCACTTGGAGGATCAACATATCTCTTGAAGTAAATCAGATTGTAATGTTTTTATCTGGCAAGTTGACTTTATTTTGGTGACATGGACCTTATTTTAAAATATCGGATTTTATAATGATAACTCTTTTGCTAATAATGCTCGGTTTATTGTGATTTTGAATTTGAAGACATGTTTTAAATTAAATTATTATTTATTTGTACTATATTTACGAGTTGGATTTTGATAGTATAATTTATTTATAATTTCATGTTATTTATAATGTGATTTTATATTGATGGAATAACGGTTGCGAAAAATGTCTTTAATAATCATAATGCGATCCACTAGACTTAGTCGAAACGCATAGGCCGGGTCTAGGGGGTTACATTTATTGGTATCAGAGCTTTTGGTTTTTAACCCTCGGACTGTGTATGAGTCCACATTGAAAATACGGTTTTGAAATATTTTACAAAACGAGTTACTAAGGCCATGTCACAAAGTTATTAAGATTTTAACTATGTTTGAGACTCCAAGTGCTTATCTAACCCTAAGTTTTATCTTCTGTAGTAAACTTGAGATCCATCAAAATGAATGCTAGACGTAGTCGTCGAACTAGCCGTGGACGAGGTCGAGTGGCTAGATTCACAGATCCGATCGATGAGATACGGGTAGATCCCCCACCTCCGATAGGTGATCATGCTCCTACGACCCCAACAGATCTGCCTCCTGCCGCTGGTATTGGCATGACTACACCGATAATAGGAGCGACCGATATTGAGTCAGAGTCTACCGGAGTTGCTTTGGATGAGAATTTTGGTAGACAATTTCTGCAATTAATACAGGGAGCAGTCAGAGCTACTGGTGTTGTATCTGAGGTTCCTATTTCGCAGCTTTGATTGCCAATGGAGTTAGAACTTTTGGGGGACAGATAGGTGGAGCTCCTACTGAAGCTGAGGATTGGCTCCAGGATACAGAGAGACGCATGGATCAGTTGGGTTTGGACTCAACTAAGAGATATCAGGGTGCTGTGGCGATGTTAGATGGCAATGCCTACACTTGGTGGGAGTCAGTGACCAGTAGTGTTCCTACCGATCGTTTGACCTGGAATTTCTTTAAGGATCGCTTTCGGAGCCGTTTTCTGGGAGAGCGCTACTTAGCTCAGAGACGACAACAGTTTCAAGACCTGGTTCAGGGAGACATGACTGTTTCTGAATATGAGATCGAGTTCCTGAAGTTGCTGAAGTATGGATTCAGTATGGTACCTATGGAGAGAGATCGATGTCGTAAATTTGCCCTTGGACTCAGATACGAGCTGCGTAGGCAAGTTGTAACCCATCAGGATGAGATATTTGATGTGTTGGTGGGCAGAGCCAAAGATGCGGAAGAGGTAGAGGTTTTAGCTTCTGGTAGAGAGCGTGTTGATCAAGATCGATCTAAGAAATTTTCAGGCCCGATGGAGTCATCAGCACAGTCCGGGAAGAGGACTCGTACTTCAGCCCCTCAGAGAAACAATACACGTTTCAGGCCTGCAGCATCCTCACCTTTAGCTGTCAGTCGAGGCGGTTCCTCGTCGTATTATAATGGGCCCCTTTGTGAGTATTGTGGTAAACATCACTCAGGAGAGTGTCATAAGAAGATGGGTCTTTGCTATCAGTGTGGATCTAGTGGTCATTATCGGAGGGATTGTCCTCAGTTAGTTTCGTTTGAGCAGACCACTACCCAAACTCCTGTGCGTTCGCAGACTACAGTACAGACCCAATTAGAGATCGTAGTCAAGGAAAGACTCGAGGATCAGCGTCCAGGACAGACAGTAGAGCCCGACCTCAGCAAAATAGAGGGCCAACAGCTTCTGAGGCTACACAGTCAGCTTTAGTTTATGCAACTAGACGTCGTGATGACAGAGATGAGCCTGAGGTTATTGCAGGTACATTTACTATTTATTCTACCCCATACTTTGCATTATTGGACAATGGCTCCACTCACTCCTATGTATCGAGCTCAGTATCTCGAAACCTTCAGATTCCGATCGAGAACACTAAAAATACTGTTACAGTTACAAGTCCAGTAGGACAAGCGGTATTAGTGAATAAAGTATTTCGGCGTTGTCCTCTCGAGGTTCAGGGAGAAATTTTTCTCGCTGATCTTATGGAACTTCCTTTAGGGGAGTTCGATCTAATTCTTGGAATGGATTGGTTGAATAAACACAAGGTAAAGCTGGATTGCGAATACAAGCGGGCTACTCTGAAGACTTCAGATGGTCGGACTGTTGTGTTAATTGGTGAACGGCGTGGTTATCTCTCCAATATAGTTTCAGCGATGGAAATTGATCATATGATCCGGAAGGGATATGAGACCTTCATTGCTTGTATTTTGAACACCAAAGGTGCATTATCCACGATCGAGGAGATTCGTACAGTTAGCGAGTTTCCTGATGTTTTTCCGGAGGAGTTGCCTGGGTT